TTTCTAAAATAAATATATTTTATGAATTTACAGGCAAAAGTTAGGAGACGTTCTTCCTTTGTGTACTTATTAGGGTAAATAAAGTTAGATAGAGTGACAACATGATTTCTTACGAGCATGAGTTCACTATATGTAGGGTTTCAGTTCTAAGATAACAGTGGTACTCAAATTGTCCTTGTTGTCAATGTCCCCTTAGGCTGGCAAACCCTCAATCCTCATTCTATTATAGACTTAAGTGGACCGAGTTCAATTCGAGGAAACACATTCCTTATGTCTACACGGAGGGCTTATCATGAAGATCATAAGGGCATATACTTCGGAAGTGATTCAATAGCCTGTACGGATGCCTACTCACGAAGGCACCAGTGACTCACTCCCACTTAGTGGGACAGGGTTCAGGTATAGAGCTTATGACATGCAAATGCATGTGATGTGTGTGATGAAGAATTCACAAACCTTTTACCCAAAAAAAGGCTAATTTATTTCGGAAAAAAGTTACTTATCTGAAAACAATGAAATTCAAATCCAATCATTAGTGCAATTATTTACAAGAAATCAATAAAATATGATGGATGGTTATGAGAATTGAAATAAAAAGGATAGTAACTCAAATAATGGTTCAAATTAATAAAATTTCACCGACTCGGGCAACATATAATCAAACTAAACCTAACTCTCAAGTGTCTCCAGCGGAGTCGTCAAGCTATCATAACCATTTTTATAAATAATTTAATATTAAAAATAAATATGACTTTATTTTGGGAAAATATGAATTTTATTTAATTTAAAATTTAGAGTCGCCATCGACCTTTGGGTTAAGTAGGTAGAATATCTAAAAACATCTTTTTAAAAAAATTAATAAAAATCATCTTTAAGACAAAAATTGGTACGCATGTTACCAAAAACTCATTTTCACAGATCCGAGATTCGATTATGCGTGGGGAAGGGTTAGCGCCCACATAGCTCCCAAAATTGACACCCTCGATAATACGTTGTCTAAAATGATGGAAACTTTACATATTTGAGCTTAAAATTTAAGTTACGATCCTTTTAACTTCTATAAATTTTCAAAATAGTGAATTTATTTATAAAATACTTAACTCGATAAAAGTGATTTAATTCACTCGGTTTAATTTAAAAGGATGTTCCCTTACTACGTGAATCAACGGAAATTAAAATCCAGATATATTAGACGTAATTTCGTTGACCCACGAAATAAGACAACATTACCTTTGAATCCTTTAGAAAGTGAAAAATCGAATGCATGAGTAATAAAATGACGTATGTAAAAATGGGTTAAATATCAATCATGACAAATAAATAAAACTAAATAGTAATAAGTAAATAACTAAACAATAGTAAATAAATATATAAAATAAGTAAAAATGAAAATCTATAGTTATTAAAATAATTATGTAAAAATAATATATCTAATTAAAAAAATATATAAAAATATATAAAAACAATATTCAATAAAGAATTATTTAAAATGAATAAATATACATATTTAATTAACTTAGTAAGAAATAAATAAAATATTAAAATTATTTTATTCGAAAAACCCTCGCAAAGATACCTTAGGTGTTTGGAGGTCTTCCATAGATTAGGCGAATAGTTAAGCAAATCTTATATAATTTCATGATATTAATAATAACAAATTTTATTATTCAAAAGTATTCAATAAAAAATTTCTATTAATACATAAATACATATATAAATTATTAATATATATATATATATATATATACATAAACGACTTATATTATAAAATACCATATATTCATAAATATTTAAATATCATTTAAAATAATATATATATATATATTACCCATCACGTTTGTGAAAAAAAAAGAAAAACAATATAAATGCACAAATAACCATATGGTGACTAAATCGAAATAATAACAAGATGTAGGCAGCAATCGAAGCGTTTAACCTTAACATTTCCTCTCATTACTAACATGAATGGTGATTAGAATGAATGTGAAACAAGATTCTGAGGACCAAAAGCATAAATATAGCAATTTAAATGAAATATGTATATTAGGGATGACAACAGGTCGTGTTCAGGCCGGGTATTGGTCCCCCATACCCGTCTCAGCTTAAAAAATCGTAGGGATTTAAACGGGGATCCCAATCGGGTAATCGGAGAAAACCGCAGGGAAACGAGTATCTCCGTTTAACATAAACGATTATTTAAACGAGTATAAGGCCGAGTATATATATATATATTTAAATTAAATATATAAATATTATATATATACATTTTTTAATTTAAATTAAATTTATTAATATTATATATATATAATAATAATTATTATTTTAATATTTATTAGGCCAGATATCGGGCCGGGTAATCAGGTAATCGAGGCGGAGATTACTAAACCCGTCCCTGTCCCCGTTTAACATAAACGATTTTTTTCCATCCCCGTCCCCGTTTAGCATAAACAGTTTTTCCCTGTCCCCGTTTAATTCGATTTTCGATTTTCCCCGTCGGGTTCAGATTTTTTTGCCATCCCTAGTATAGATGGACTAAACTAAAATGGAACTTAAATTATCAAAACAAATCAAACGTTTGACCATAACACTTAAATAATGCATGATGACTAAAATAAAAAAATGAGAACGTAAAAGATTCAAAATTGACAATATCCCCTTCATTTTAAGACTAAAATAAAATATTACAAGACATGAATATCCTAAGTTGCAATTTACCCGTAGAGTCTCAAAAACACGGGTGAGATTAGTGCAAAACGACGTCATTTTGTTTGATATATATATCCTATTATTAACTTTTTATAACCCTAATCTCCCCGTTTTACGTCCGGCCACTTTCCTCTCTTCTTCCCTTTTCTCTCTTTTCTTTCTCTCGACCGAGAGATTCAAAATCCCTCTCTGATCACCGCATAATCGGCACTGGTGAGGGTCCGATGACCTCCTCTGGCCTCCACAATATTTTTTCTTTCAACCCCTAAACCGATCTAACATCGAAACCCACATCTAGCTCTCTCAAACTCTCAAACTTGAAACAGAAAAGGGACTACCTTGTTTTTTTATCTTCCTTTGGCTCTGGCGAAGCCGTATGGTCCAAATCCGAAACGTATATATTTCTTTTTTTTCCCTTCGTGTTTTATCATTTTTCGATTCTAACTGTTTTTTAATCTAGTTCGGAAAAAATCTCTCTTGTTCGATTGGTGCTTTGCATGTTATATCTGGTCTATATCTTGGTGCTTGCTAAAGCTATGGCATAGGGGGATGATTATCCTATTTGACAGCCTCAGATTCTTTTGGATTTTCCTTATTTTATTTTAACGAATTTGGATAAAAAAAATATAACTTTTTTGACTGATTTTGGCTCTTTGTTTGATTGATATGTTGATGGCCGGCTAAAATGACGACGTCAGCCTAGGCGACTGAGGTGGTAGGAGCAGACAGTGGCGGCGGTGGCGCATCAGCTTTAGGGTTTGAAAAATCCTAATCCCTTCTCATTTGAGCCGTTGGATCAAGCACAGATCTAGCGGCTGGGATATATCTGGTGGCTGGGAAGATAGGATGAAACCTTAGTTTCTGTTGGGTTGCTTCATTTGGGCCTGTTCTTTGGGTTGTTGGCTTGGTCTTGTTAGGGCCTGACCCGTTTGTAATTTTGATTGTACTTGAGTTTATTTTGTAATTTGGGCCAATCTTATAGCCGATTAACACATAATAATAATAATAATAATAAAAAAGACTAGTATATATATAATTATCTAACATGTGTTTAATATACTAATACTAAATATAAATCAACTTCTAATTAAACATAATTAACATTAACAATCACACATTTTTTTAGCAATTAAAATTAAGACGTATAATTTAATAAACGTTGTAAATAAAAAAATATATAAAAAGAATTCAGACAAAATATAATGTCTACAATAAAATTTTAATAATCGAGAGACTCAACAAAAATATGTCTTACTTATAGTTTGAGAACATCATATGCAATTAAATCTAAGAAAATATATTTTCAGATAATTTAAATCTAAGAAAATTTATTTGGTGATAATATTCTTTTTATTAAAATTTATCTTAAAATAGTAATTCCTAAAAAATATTCTTAAACAATAGTTGGTTCTAACCTATTTTTTTTTATCAAGTATGTATTATTGACATAGATAGTTATTGAGAGTTTACTTTATTCATTTTTATTTAATTTAATGTCACAAGTTAAATAATAATAATTCATTAATATATCGAAAATATCTCACTCTTTTAAAAACATACAACCAAATACTAGTATATCTTTTTATTTTTTTATAATAAAACATATATTTTATAAATAATTTGTAACAACTTCAACAGAAGGGATATATTCGACCTTTTATATTTTAAAAAGTAATTTTTCACTTCAAACAGAAAACACTCAAAAATTAATTTAAAATTATAATTGAAAAACACAATCTCAAAAGTTATTTTTTTTTAGTTTTTGTTGTGAAAAATCACTTTTAGGATAGAATTATATTTTTATCATCATCCTATAACTTTTAATTTACAATACAATATTTAAAATTAATATTTTATATTTTTAAAATGTCTAAAATTAATATTTTATTTTTAGAATCACTTTTTAAAACACTCACAGACAATTAAATTTCAAATTACACTTTTCAAAAACATGTTTAAAAACATTATTTTACAACACTTCTCAACCTCATTTTTTAAAAGTAGTACCAAACTCTTGTATAATGATAAAAATATTTTTATTCAAACTTGTATTAATCATGAGAGGATTTTATTATCTTATTGTACCATAACTCATTACCAGTAACTGGTATTCTATTACAACTCTATTTTATTAGATAATGGATTCTAATTAATTTATTAGAAAAATAATTTCCGTTCAACTAAATTGATGTACGACTAATAAATGGAATACGGATGGTTAAAATATTAAAAAAAAAGTAATGTCCAATTAAAATGAGACAATCATATTATACACACAAAGGCAATGCAACATCAATCCAGTCTCAGTCTGCTGTACGCCATTTTCCAGTATGATAAAAAAAAAGGCATCACTAAACAATAATCCCAAAGAAACTACATACCTTGATGCACAAATCTTGTCAAAACAGTTAAACATAATGTTCTTACACAGGTGCATCAAAGTCACAGCTGACATCGATTTCGGATTCTAAATCCTCCTCAGCATCATCCGGGTCGGATGAACCAACGACACCATGTTCACGAACTTTGGCTCCTTGGGCGGTTCCCGTCTTAGCCTCTTGTATGATCCGCATCACTTCTTCAACGCTTTGAGATGGTTGGTCACGTTCGGATTCCGCAAAGTTTGTCTTCTCCATCTCAACCAGTTCTTTCGGTAAATTTTTCAGAAACCAAGGGTGCTGCTTAATCTCTGGGATGCTAATCCTCTATATGTAATCAAAGTTTATATCATTTGAATTAGATGCAACTCTGTGTACGCATAAGAAAAGGAACAATACCTTGGCAGGATTGGCAACGAAGATACGGGAAAGAAGATGTCGGCAATCCGCGGACACCCGTACGTAGTCGGGTATAGTGTATTGGACACTCATTATCCTCTGTTACAACCAAAATAATTCAACTTCAAATCATGAAGAAAAAAGAGATGATATCTCAGGTAAGAGAAAAATTTGAGAGCTTACACTGATGGTCTTACGGAAATTCCGAGGATCTTCGGGCTCCTCGAAAGGGTATGCTCCAACCAACATCACATATAATGTCACACCACAGGACCAAACATCTGCAATCTATAACAGCCAGTGGAAGATCAAATAAACTATGCAACATGCACAAATTTATATCCGAAGTTGAATATCGGCATTACATTCGATTAGAAAACAAAGAGCTTATACCTCTCCATCGTATTCCTTTCGTGATAGGACTTCTGGGGCAATATACGCCGGTGTTCCGACAGTTGATTTTGGTTGTGAATGCAGCACTGAAGACTGTTCAGAAAAAGGAATTAAAGAACTGAACGTTGAACAACAGAATAAGAACAGAAGAATCCGGTTTATTTCGAATCCAGAAACGAACCTTGGAGTATCCGAAGTCGCATATTTTAAGTCGTGGCATTGGACTTCCATCCAGGAGTGTGTTCTCTAGTTTCAAATCCCTGTGACAAATTTGCTGCAGCACGAGTGTTGAATGAGGCATGAAATTCACCATTAAACAGAATCTTGAAAAGGTTACTCATGTTCATGTAACATACCATGGAATGACAGTAGCTGACTCCGGATATTAGCTGCTGGAAGAAAAACCGTGCCTGTCGACGAAAAAGCATCGTAAGTAAACGCTAAATCGAAAGATTTCCATGGAAGGCGAGGAAGAAAGTTTAGCTCAACACATCGAATGTGGATTGAAACTCACTTCGTCTTCGCTAAATCGACCTGCGCTGCATATTCGCTCGAAGAGTTCACCACCGGCAGCATACTCCATCACAATAGCTAAATGTGTTGGAGTCACCAAAACCTGCAGATTAATCAAACGAAAGATATATTGGTAATACTCATTTACATGCCTCATTTGCTACTAATGTTTAATAAATCAATTTCTTACCTCTTTAAACCTGATTATGTTTGGATGTCTTAAAGACCGGTGGTTAATGATTTCCCTCTGAACATTTTCATCAACCTGAAACCCAAAAAAGAAAATGGCATCATTCACCATTGTTGGTAAAATAGACTGTTGCAAAACGAGGAGTTAGCACTGACTGGAAAATATTAAATAAAATAATCAATCAGAATGATAACCGTGTCGTGGTAATCCACTGCCTTAGAAACAAATTCGCCCCGATGTGTGTAATCGCTACAATGGACGAACAACCCCCTGAGGTTAACACGGCTCTCCAAGAATTCGTACACCCGAAAACTGGAGTGAACTTGGTGGTATTGCTCTTCTCTCAACTCAAACAACACTCAAAAGAGAGGAGTATTTCAAAGCAAATGATTGTTTGGGATATCTCAAAGTGAATGAAATTGCCCTTTATTTATAAGCTAAATAGTGAGGGCAAAATAGTCACTTCCAAATCACAATTTAATTATATTAAACATAGAATTAAAAACCATTAAAAGACTGTTACAAATTGAGCATTACCAACATTCCCCCACTAATGCGAAAGAATTCTTTCGTAAAGATGAGAGCAATGAAGTTAAAACACGAGAAGAGCAATAGCGAGATCAGTTGCTTAAGCACTAGTGAACGTATCTGGAACTAGTACATAGTGATGATGAGAAATTATTTTCTTAGATAAGTGAAACTAGTCTGGAACTTTCTAAGATAGGGGTAAACTTATTACACACAACTAACCCCTTCATCCACCTGATTCATCGATGTGTAAGATATATATATACAAAAGTATATATTTGACCATCTTACCTCAGGATTCTAGTAAGTGTGTTAGAAAAATGGCCCAACATTTTTCATAGAAGGCGGCTAACCCTTCTCACTTACATAGGTTATTTCATCAAGTTTATCTCGATATAAACCACCCTTAAAAGGGATATGAAATAATTAAGAGCTTTTATAATAGCTTAACCTCACAAAGGGTATGGTGACTTTATTCAAGTTCATTATTAATGAACCACCCAAACTCTGGGCTAAGAAGTCATTAAGAATAAATATTCAACCTCATTTATCGGTAAATTAAATAAGTCCTTCTCACTAGAACCATCCAAATACTTGGATTTGAATTTATTAAGAGTTTAACAAACTCAACCTTTCTGTCGGTAAGTTCATTATTTCCTTCTCATTTAGGAATACCCACTCACTATGGGTTATGAACTTATTAAGAATAGATATTCAGTCAAAATCGGTAAATTCATCAAGTCTTTCTCACTAAGACCACCCAAATCTTGGGCTATGAATTTATTAAGAGCAATTAAGCTCATGGGCATGCACATTATTCATCATAGGGATAGGTAGTAGGAATGTGCACTATGAGTCTTTTCATGGTTTCGTTTGACCACATGGAACTTAGATAACTAAGTTGGGTATCCACCATGAATTCCTCAACCAATGGGCTTTAGACCCATCCCCCTCGACGAATCTAGGACCAAAGATCTGCTAGGTTCCTTTCCGACTTCACATACTCTAAAGAGAGTACTCCACTCTTTATTAAGTGTCTAACTGATTCATGTCTTATGCGAATGTGTCTTTCCTTACCATTGTACACATATCACAGCTTGCGAATCACACAACAAAGAAATCGGAGGAGTCGGTTTTTTTATTACAAACCTTTCTAATCAAAGGTAATAATAGAAATTAAAACCATTTAATATACCACCCAATGGCTTTATCACATAGCTTTATCACAAACGCCTTTTTATTCACCTTTAAATTCTTTCTATTCTAAAACAGTCAGTTATCAAAACTATATTCAACTTTCCACTATTAATGCTTGCCGACTAATTAAAGCATTTATATACATTAAGCATTTACATTGAAGTTCTTATAGTGGCACTTACTGACTGTTAATAAGCCATTTCATCGCATTAAATGTAAATAAACATTTAGACTTGTCAAAGCAAACCAATTCTTAGTTGCATCAAGCTGTATTTTACCGCGAGAATAATATTCTGAATCAAAATATTACGTACCACTGAGTTAAAGGTGAGTAACATCTTTATTTACTAATACATTTGGGTTGAAACAATTCTATGCATTTATTATAGCTTTAAATATTGGATTTATATTACTTTGTAAATAAATTTGAATTGAATGTTGAATAATTTTAATTGGCCATTAATTGTGCAAATTATAGCTTTAATGGTGTTTATTTACAAAGTAATATACAGATTGAAGTATTAGCCGATGGTGATTTCACTCGTTCTCGTTTGGGTCTTGGTTCACGAGAATGTTGAAATTGGTTAATTTATTATTATTTTTATAATAAATTTTGAATTGTTATTGAAGTGCCCATTTGTTATATGCATGGTGAAAGAATCCTTTAATGTGCATTAAGGTTAATCATTTTAAATGCAATAGAGCTTTGCATTAATTTTTACATGAAACTCATGTTTACACATTTAGTGTTGCAGTTTCATGACTTAAGCATGAATGTTAATTATAACCATTATATTTAAATGATTTTTAAGTTTCAATAGGAGGTTGAACGGTTTATTAAATAGCTATATAAATGTTGGTATTTAGTAAATGTTCAATTTTGAAACTTATATGCTATAATCAAGAAGTGACATGATTATAAAGTTGATTAACATTTTTGTGTGAGATAATGCATGTATGATTGGTTAATATGTGAAAAAAGTAACTATTTATTTTCATGTGGGGGTAAGATTATTCAGTTTCTGAATATTAAGTTGAAAATAAATATCAACTATTTTATCATACTAATAATTTCTTTTGAGAAATTTATAAAGATAACATAACGGTTGTAATTTTGGAGAATCATGAAGATGATGATGTTGGACAAGAAGATTCTTCAAACCGAAATAGTTGTTAAATTCGGGTTTGATTTTCACAATCTACTGAAGATAAGGAACCAAAATCTTGAAGATATGGATCTTATTACTATCAGTAAATTATTTTTATTTTATTACTGCTAGTAAAATATTTTTGCTTCTAAATTGTTGGTAAAATTGACTGCTGCAAAACGAGGCGTTAGCACTGACTGGAAAATATTAAATAAAATAATCAATCAGAATGATAACCGTGTCGTGGTAATCCACTGCCTTAGAAGCAAATTCGCTCCGATGTATGTAATCGCTACAATGGACGAACAACCCCCTGAGGTTAACACGACTCTCCAAGAATTCGTACACCCGAAAACTAGAGTGAACTTGATGGTATTGCTCTTCTCTCAACTCAAACAACACTAAAAAGAGAGGAGTGTTTCAAAACAAATGATTGTTTGAGATATCTCAAAGTGAATGAATTTGCCCTCTATTTATAAGCTAAATAATGAGGGCAAAATAGTCATTTCCAAATCACAATTTAATTCTATTAAACATAGAATTAAAAACCATTAAAAGACTGTTACAAATTGAGCATTACCAACAACCATATGCTGCTCTCATTTTGCTTCAAGTACACATATCCTATGTTGCACCAATACGGATACAGGATAAATACGATGATGGATATGAAGACGTACAGACTACGAGTACGACAAATTTAAATAAATTTTAAAATTTGAAAAGATATAAAAAAAGTCATAAATATTGATTAAAGTTCATAAATAAATTTTTAAAATCACATATTAAACCGATATCTAATTTTATGCTTGTGTTATCTTCACTAAAACAAACATATCTTGAATATCTAACGTCTTATTTATGTGTTTCAAGATGTGTTCCAAAGAATAACTAAAAGATGATTCATACATAAGAAGACATCTAAATCGAAAAATGTTTAAATTCCATCAAAAAAAAGTCATCGTAAGTCAATTGAAATTCTAAACTTCAAAAACAATTTTGAATTTTTTATTCAAAATCAACTTTTATTATTTTTAAGTTAAATCTAAAAAATAACTCTAAATAGTAGCCATGTGAAGAATAGAATTTTATACCTAATATATTCTCAAAAATCTCTTCGACATAATTAATTCTAGCAGTAAACGTACTCAATATGTATTTAAACTGTACCAGTGTCGATGACGTATTGAGTACTTGAAACAAAATTAAATTACCGTACCCTTGTAACATAACCCATGTTCAACACATAAAAACTGTGAACTCTCGTTGAAATATATGCAAGCAAATAGACAGCATGTTCAAAAATCACTGGCAAACATAATGTCATAAACACATTTCCATGTTCAAAAATGGATCATCAGACAAAATTTGCACAGATTTATATGTTCATAAAATTGGTGCCAATTTAGATGTATTAATCTGCATATGATGGAAAAAGAAACTAAAAGAAATAACCTTTTTTCCTCTCTCAATATATTTGACCGCAAGAAGCTCCTTGGTGTTCTTATCTTTAACCAGCCTAGCGACTCCGAAATTCCCTGATCCAAGCTCCTTCAATGGCTCATATCTCTCCTCCATCACCACAAGATGAAAACTGTCAGAGTTTGGAGAAAAAATTAGGAAGAAATGGTCTTTGAAGGCAAGAACAGCACCAAACCAGCTGACTCTTTTATATAAAGTTTACATGTCAAGCCATTTTATATACTTCTTCTCTTCTTCAAACAAAACTAAAAATTACCAAAGCTCCAGCCCTTTGAGAACCAACAAAATTAAGAAAATGGTTATTTTTAAGGCGACCTTGTAATTTTGTGAAGTGTCGGATAATGGAGACAAAGACATGGAAAATAACAAAAGAAAAATAGTACAGGTCTTACTTAATATGACAGCAGCGTCGGTTAAATGGAGAGAATAAAATACACAAACGATCACTGTATTATATTATATTAAATTAAATTTATTATTATTTTTTAATATTATAAAATAAATTTGAAAATTTTGATTTTATTATAAAATATACATCACATCATTAATTATTGTTAATAAAATAATTTGATATACTAAATTAATAAATAATATCTTATTTGACTTTTCAATTATAGTTAAATTTTTATTTTAATATTTTAAATAATAATGTATAAATGTTAAAACTAATAGATAATAACAAACTTGTTATTATATTCTTTACATATTTTATAAAATATGTTATGGTTTTAATATATATATATATATATTATTTAATCATATAATTATTTATAATTTTTTAAAAAATTGAAAATATTAGATAATAACAAACTCTTTTTTATAAGCTTTTACTTGTATTAGATTTTATATATTTTTAAAATTTTATTTTTTTAATTTTTTATAACTATTACTTATTTTCTTTTAAATATCAAAATAAATTTTAGTTAAAAATAATACACACCATAATCAAAAGTTAATACTTGTTTTAAAACTTTTAAATATAGTTAAATGATAATTATTTTAATTAAGCCATATAAAACACTACAGCAAAACATGTTTTTTGCGGCGTTTTTTTACCTTTAGAGGTGTTTATAAGCGCCGCTAAAAACACATGCGGCGTTAAGATAAATGCCGCAAAAATCGTCGTTGAAAATAGCGCCGCTAAAGTTTACGGCGTTTTTTGTGAAAAACGCCGCAATAAGTATTGATATTTAGCGGCGTTTGTGTTAAAAACGTCGCAATAGGTGTTGATATTTAGTGGCGTTTGTTATAAAAACGCCGCAATAGATGTTGATATTTAGCGTCGTTTGTCATAAAAACGCCGCTATAGGTGTTGATATTTAGCAGCGTTTTTCAACAAACGCCGCAATAGGTGTTGATATTTAGTGGCGTTTTTTTATAAAAACACCGCAAAAGGTGTTGATATTTAGTGGCGTTTGTCATAAAAACGCCGCAATAGGTGTTAATATTTAGCAGCGTTTCTCAGACAAACGCCGTAATATGTTATGATGTTTAGCGGTGTTTTTTGTTAAAACAAAATTTCTTCCAATTTAATCATTTTCAAATAAAATTTATATTAATTAGTTTTATTCTGTCTTTAAAACTTTTAACCTAAATTTAGGGTGTTATATCTTCGACATATCGTCCGAGCTATTCCGGGGACACAAGTTATCCCCGTTGTATTGGGTACTTCACCAGCGTCGTCTGTCATTGCATCATAAAAAATTATATTAGAGAAGCTTTATCGATACAAGACTGTAGACTTTCATAGTTCAAAGAATGATGATTCATTTTTTGTCGACTAGTGGCTAAGGGAGACTTTTAAATTATGAGATAGTTGCATCTTACCTCTGAAGGCAAGCTTGAGTGTGCAATTACCTTACTCAAGGATGACACCATGAATTGATGGGAGACAATGTAGACTGTCTTGGAGCTAGAGTGACCGTCTTAGGAATATTTTCTATTTGAGTTGAGATAAAAATACGTTGAAAAGACTTATATGGAAAAAAGACTTATATGGAAGTTTTGAGGATGCAATTCTCCTATTTAGTCTAAGGAAATCGGTCTGGGTACGAGTGTGAAGAGACTTCCTATTTAGTCTGATAAGCACCACAGTTGTAGAAGGACCTGAGATGCATGGTTTTCAAAACCGGACCGGTTAGTGAATCGATCATGTTATCGGTTTACTGATTCAACCGGTCGTATCGGTCCGATCGATCGGAAGAACCGGACGACGTCATAATTATTTAAAAAATTAAATAAAAATACCAAAAATATTTAATAAAAAATAATTTTTTATATCACAAGTCATATTCAAAGCAAGTCATAACATATATAAGTTAAAAACCATAAAATCAAGTGAAACAAAATGATTCAAATTAACTACAACATAATATGTAAGATAAAACATATTAAATAATAAATATAATTATATAACTATAATTAAAAAATAAATTTGGGATTAAAAAAATCATAACAAAATGATATTGTTTGGTTTAATTTTTTTAAAAAAAACAATCTCACATGGCTAAGAAACATAGAAGAACATCCCAAAAGTCTAAAGAGTAAAAATATGAGAACAAAACAATCTCACATTGCTAAGAAACATAGAAGCGCATTACAACTAACTTCTATAAATAATAGAGGTAATTTGACATTTAAAATCATGGAGCCTTTTGGTGAGCATTGAGTGAACTATTCTTTCACTTCAATCAAGCTCGAATTTTAGGCTTCAATCGAGCTTCTAATTTTTTTTTTAGTTCAAGCCTTTTTGAGTTCAAGTTTCAATATTATATTTCGAGTTTGAGTTGAACTTGATAATTTTTAGCTTGTGAGTTTGAGTTGAGTTTAGCTTACTTTTAAAGTTTTCAAGTTCGAGTCGAGTTCAGCAATACTCGAGTTCGACTTGGCTCGTTTAACAAACGACGTTGTTTGGTTTAATTTTGTTTAAACAAAAAACAAAAATCCCGGTTTTTCCCGATTTTTTCCGGCTTTCAGCCGGTCCGGTTCAAACGGTTCAGCGTTTCTGACCGGTTCACTAATAACAATTCAACCGATTTTGATTGAACCAGACTAAACAACGATTTTCGATTGAATCGGTTGAACCGACCGATCCGATCTGTTTTCAAAACAGAGCTGAGATGTAAGAGATTCAAAGAGGACCCACACATTTATATTCATACTCAACTAGCAACCAACCCACTCTGACACTTTTCTGAGTTAACCTACTATAAAATTGCGGTCGAGAGAGTCTAGAGAAACTCATCAAAATTAACATAGGTTGTGTAGTTTTAGTAGTCGTAATTGTTCTATTCAAGAAAATTTGAGGATAAAATTTTCTTTAAAGAGGAGAGAGTGATGCCGGCCCGGATTTTTTATTTAATGTTTGAGTATTGATATGAAATTTAATTGAATAAACTAATTATACTATAGATATTCTTTTAGTCAAATTTGAGTTTAATCGACTGAAAAATTATTCCAATTGAAGATAAAGGAGAATTTTTGAGTTTGAGGTTGAAAGGAGGACTTATATCGTAATTTATCCATTAAGGAAAATCATGCTGATTTGGAGAATATTTATTGCTGACCTTGGGCGTGTGTTTTGGAGGCATGCATAACACATTTTCTTCTATTTTCCCAAAAGCTCTTCTTCTTCCCATCTTAATTTTCTTCTTATTCTATTTCTCCCGAGAGTAAGGAAACCAAGGAAATGCCTCACCATTTTTCATCTTCTTCATTAATCTGAAAATCCAAGTGGAAGGGGCATGTGAGACCTCCAAAAGTAAGAATAAGGAGAAATAAATTATTGATGGAGCTATAAGAGTTTTGGGCTTATATGAAACTGAGATAATATCTTATAATTCTTTCCTATTACTTGTAGCTCATTTCATTTAATTCTACTTGCTTGTATGAAATGGTGAAGCATGTTGAGGAGTATTTTTAGATTATTGTAGATGATTTAGATGTTTAAAATATGTAAAAATAATGTATTATGGTAACCCCTAGACCCGACCTATGCGTTAAGACCAGATCTAGCAGATTACGATAAAAATTTTCCAAAAACATTCTTTAATAATTTAAAATCCGAATTATAATTAAACATCTTTAAAAATATAATTTATAGCATCAAAGTTTAAATTCAGTAAATTAAAGTCGTAAAAATGAAATATTTCAAAATCAGTATTGAAGCAAATCTAACATCAATAACAAAAGTAGTATTTTCAAAATATAGACACATGTCACCCAAATTAAATGCGGCTCGGAAGATAAAAACATTACAACAAAAAGTCACTGTACTAATGTGTCGATCCTCCAAGTGTCATGTACAGGTCGCCTATCCAAAAAGTATCTCAAAGAGAGAAATTTAGGTGAGTGAGCTAGGGAGCTCAGTATGTTCCAACAGTGCAAAAAATAAACATATAATTAAGGTTTCAAAATCAGTTTAACATTAAAATCATAAATCGTCGGTAGAGTTTTCAAAATCAGTTCAGTTCCAAATTGTGAAAACATCAATAGTGTCTTGGCTTAAAATACAGAATCGGCCTCCAACCGAACACCATATACATTACCCAGAACTGTATCCATAAGGACTTACCCTAGGCCCGAAGGGCATAGGTGCCAACCTGAGGGAGCACCTTGGGTCCATAAGATATTACCCTAGCCAAATCGTAGGTGTCCACCTGAGGGGAGTGCCCTCAGACCCATAAGGACTTACCTAATACACAGAGTAGAGGAGCCACCGTAAGGGAGTACCTTAGGGTCCATAAGGTCTTACCACTAGGCTCATTAGGCCCATGAGCCCACCCAAGAGTCGCCTTAGGTCCATAAGGAAATACCAGCTCGATCAGTCTGAACCTATATAAGGAATTACCAATTTGACTGAGCTAAACTTGCAAAGACTTCATACCATTTCCTAGAGTACCTCGGAGAAAAATAGTTTTTAGAGAATAATCAGTGGTAGCAGGAAATCAGAGTTCAAACATATTTATTTATCAATAAAAACAGTAACCAGAGAACATGAATCAGACAATCAGGCTTAAACTTTAGTAAATCAGAAATCGTGCTTTAAATAAGATAAATCATACGGAATCAAGTTAAACAGATAGCCACATTGCAAAGTAAATAAAGCAATCATGTGCACATGATATTTT